ATCATCACACACACACACACACACACACACACACACACACAGTGCCAGTGGCCCACAGACAAGTGGGTGTTCACTCAGGCCTTAATGATTCCTTGCAGTTTGTCTGTCTATACATCAGGATGATGTCAGTGGCTATCATGTTGTGGGTGAACATGGCGACAGTACCAGTGTAATGTGTCTGGTGGGGGGCTAACAGACTGTAGATACTAATTTTATTACTATGACAGGAAATTGAATGGTGATATAATGCCAGCAGGGCAGATGATGGAGGTAATGGAGAGTGCTGAAGACAGGAAAAGTGGAAGAGAACTAAAAGGTGGCCTGAAGGGTGAGGCTGAAAGGAACAGATTGGAAACATATGGGTGGAGACAGTGAATAAGTAACGCTCCCCCCTCCCCTCACAATGACCATTATGTTCCCTTGATTAAAGCCCTTGAGCCTCAGTGGCCAGTGGTTGAAAAAGGAGGCTGTACTCCTGTTTGTAACTCCGTGCATGTTCAACAGCCAGACAAGGACATGCATGATCAGAAAAGCCCTGAGTCAGAGTAAAAAAAAAAAAAAGAGCAAGAAAATGAGGACAACAGGCTGGAACTAGACTTCTATTTCTGTCCTACCCCTCCTCCTCACTTTCGGTTTAATTTTAGGCATGCTGATGCTCTGCCAGTTTTGAACAGCCAAAAACCGAGGAGCAGCAGGCTTCTTCCCGAAACTCTGAAGAGCCAGTGTCACAGCTGCCCCACGCTGCATCTGGTCTGACAGAGGGACACCACCTGAAACACTCGATGTTTGATGCATTTTTATAATCCTTGACTGAGTGACAACATCGCTCACACATGGTGAAGTTTGAATTATTACAACCAAAGGAACTGACTGATTGTGTATTAACAGGTTTGAATCACAATGTGTCATTGTGAGTGCTTAAAGATTCCTTTAACATGTTAAAATATATAAAAATACTTTGTGTTTTATATGGTATTTCCACAAAAAGGTTTGATGAACTGCTTATGTTTTATTAAAATGACATCTTCAGTAGTCTGTTAACCTCATTGAAAATATATTTCATTTCAAAAGTGTCAGAGTTGGACACAGGATGTCTCCTACTCGGTGAATGCACAGTGGTGGTTGTGTAAGTTGCACAACGGACCAAGACTGCAAACTAGTTATGACATCACAAAATCGTGGTACCACATATATTTCAAACCAAAGATTGAGGTGAATTCAAGAAACCTTCCCCCTTCTGCTAATGAATGTGATCCCCTCCAACATTATTCTGCAAAGTGAAGCTCTGGCATCCACATGAAGAAACTACAGTGGAACCTTGGATTGCGAGCAACCTGGTTCGCCAGTGTTTTGCAAGACGAGCAAAAACAATTTGATTTGATATACAAGCGAAGTCTTGCAATACGTACACTTTGTCTGCCGAGCGTCACGCGCTTCACTCATATAGTCCATATCTGTACGGAAACAATGGCCCCTCACGCCAGCCACGATTCTGTTCAAAGGTAAAGTGCAGGTTAATTTGTTTTATTTTTACTTTATACTGTATTTTGTATTACTGTAATCATTTTTATATGGATAAGTGAGTGTGGAACGAATCATCTGAGTGTCCATTATTTATTGGGAAAATTCGCTTTGATATACAAGCGCTTTGGATTACGAGCACGTTGCCGGAACGAATTATACTCACAATCCAAGGTTCCACTGTATAAGCAAACCATATTTTTGAGTGATGAGGGACTTTACTACAGTTATGTATTGAGTTTGTAGGTCCAGAAGATGGCAGTATTTATTATATGACAGCGATAGAGAAACAAAAACTGACCTGCATGAATTCTATTACTTTTTATTCCCATAATGTGATTAAAGTGGTCCAACTTTGTATGACAGTTCTGTAAATTTGGAGGATTTATAAGAGACAGATTATAAAAGTAATGGTGTACATTGTATCCTGAAACATCCTGAATATTCTGACTTGAATTTGGGTCAAGCTTTGAAAATGCTTGATCCTGTGGTTCCCGTAATGCAACCCAGTGTCTTTCATTAGATCCTACTGTACTGTTTCAAACTCGATGCCCCCAGTAAGTGATATGGGGTTTCTTAAATGTGCAGCCTTCTGGCTGTATTACAGTCCTACAAAGTAACTGTAGACTACAACAGAATGCACACAGACATGACATTCATTTTCTAATCAGCTAACCCTCCATCTTCTCTAATATATCCTTCCATTACTTTAACTCCAGTAGTTCAGAAATGCACAAAATTAACTTTGTCATCCTTTTCTACAATAAAATGATCTAATAGTGTATGTGCTGTCAGTTCAGTCGAGCTGAACCTCTGCTGTGAAATCTGGTGGTCTGTGGCTGCCAGAGAGAGGAGCTGCTCTTTGCTTTGTGAGTAATGTTGCACTTTCACATTTGGTGTGGATGCCATCAAGCTCAGGCCAAGATAACCCTGACGCCCTCATCAGGGTTCCTTTCTCAAACGTGACCAAAACTCACCGAGGGCCATGGAAATGCATGTACCTTTTTTTCACAGGCTGAGAAGTAGCCTAGTCTTTGTGATGTTAACATATTGTCATATATAAAATTAGTGGAATCTCCCACTGTTTGTCTTAATAGCTCATTCTTTTATATCAGCTTTTCATTTGAACTGTATGAACTCATTGTTTGGACCTAATAGTTTAAAGTGAGCTGAATGGACAGAAATATACAAAGAAATGTGTATGTGAGAGTTTGATAGAGAGTTCCAGGCATCTGCATGAGCACAGCTCATGCAGGGAGACTTTAAAATGAGGAGAATAAGCTAAATATTGGGCACAATCACTTGGCATGCCTTTAGGAATAAACGAGCACTTGCATGCATAACTCACTCTGTTCACATGAAGTGCACATGTTAAACAGCATCAACTTGAACATGTACTGAATGCAGTAATTACAGGGTGGTTTGGGGAAGCATGAAACATGACTCCACCACAGTAAGAGGTATTTTTAAGGCACTAAAGCGGTGGCTTGAGTCCCCGAAACGTCACCAGTCCCCGCCTTGAATTATAATAATCAATTGTTTGATTTCCAAAATCAGAAAAGATGGTTGGAGGCGCTCTGTGACTGTCAGGCACACAGGACGCGCGGATGCATCTGGATAACTCAGACTGTCGTTAGTGGATATACAGTATGTAATTCACTCCCTATTGTGATCATTTTACTAGTAACAGCCAAAGAGATGTGACGAACCTTAGCCTGTATTGGCTGGGCGCTGTGTTTGTGCGCATCTTTGGCCAAGAGCGCGCAGGACTACCCCGAGGACGATGAGATGATCCTGGAACTGAACGGGACTTGAAACGGGAGCCGAGCCCGCTGCAGAGGTTTGATTATTATTATTACAATGTTGATCTCTAAAGCAACTAGAAAATTAATCATTTAATCGATTGATATTCAAGTGACATTTTGAAATCCAGTCCCTTTGTATGTCTCACTTCTCTTCATGCATTTTGACAGAGCACCTACAGGCTACTGTATGTTCCGTGCGTCACACCCCAGGCAGCGTGGCGCATGCCCGGTCAGCACCTGGTTATACTGCATCAGGGGACGCACGAGTGTCACGTCCAGAAAGCCATCAGGGTGCTGAGAACCAGAGCAACCAGGAGAGGATACCTGCTGGAGACCCTGTAGAACTGCTCTGGAGCTCTGTGCGGCTTCCTGGTCAACATGAGCAGTGAAGGACATCGATGTCCTTCACCTGGTAACTGCTTCAGCTGTCAGCATGCTGCTGCTAAGCTCATCAGTACAGGTGGCAGGGAATAAAACAAACACTCATTTAATTATGCTTTGCCTCATGTAAAATCTAGAATTGGCTAAAAATGGTCTAATCTCCTTAGAGGTCTCCATGACCTGCTCAGACATTGTAACTGTGTGTGTGTGTGTGTGTAAAAAAGTGCTATAAGTTTATTATTTATTGCTTTTGGGGTATTTTTGGAACAACAGGGAATGTTTTATTGACAATGTTAATCTCAAAGCAGTTTTTAAAAGATAAAATGGAAAGAGAAGGTTTGAATTACTTTAAAAACATAGGTCCAAATAAAATCCAAATTTTAGATAAAACTTAATAGTTAATTAAAAGAGACAATGATAACAATTGGTTGCTGAGATAAAATCAGTTTTATCTGAGGTGTTTGAAATAGGGAGCCCAGACAATGAAAGCCTAACACTTTATAATGCAAGAGATAAATTTGTGTAGAGCTTTGCTGAAAGATGTCAGAGAACCAACAAGATACAAGCAGAAGCCTGACCACGCAAGGCTAAACCCCCCAAAACAAATGAAAAACAGCAACAAAAATCATAATAATTAACTCTAAAACTAACAGGTAACCAGTGAAGAGCAGCAGAAGCTGAAGTAATAGAGCTTTTGTCTGTTATGGTCTTACAGCAGTGTCTGTAGTCTGTGGATATTTTATCTGCTGAGACCCAAATAAAGTACAATATTGAAGTAAGGAGGAGATAAAGATAGGGATGATCCCCTTTAGTTCACAGATTCATTCCACATGTGTAACATGTTTTGATCAAGCACCTTAATGACGCAGGTGCTGGAACCAAGTGTTGTCATTATAAAGATCTATATTTGTAGTGAATCAGTTTACTATAACACTAATATGGAGCAGTGGCAGCCTAAAGCTTAGATAAGCTCATCTGATACCTGGACCACCAGGATAAATCTGGGCATGTGTCTGGGGATTACATCTCAGAGGTGGCAGTATTTAGTGAATAAATCAGGATAGAGCCTAGGGGAATTCTACAAATTCCCCCAGGCTCTACATATAGAACTGGCTCAGCCTGTCCCACCTCCTCACCCTTTTACAGCTTCCTGTGCAGGTTTTAATTAGTAGTTTCAGCCCCACAGTGAAGTGTGACTGTGCTCCTGCTAGGCAGTAAAGCTCTCTCATGTCCACTACATAGAGGAGGACTTGTCCATCTTTGTTCAGAGTGCCCCCTGGAACCTGCAGAGGTTATTGCAGCCTCATGGCAACACCTCTAAAAACAGAACATACCAGCCTCACTGTGCCATTTACACACATACGTGGACACCTGAAGAAAGAATCATTCAAATCCATACATCGTACATCTTCTGCAGATGATGGAGGGATGGCATAACTGTATATGATGGATGGCGGTGTTCAGAGTTCTCACAGAGAGGTTGAAGGATAAGTGCTCATTATGGACTTCAACAACGTCCCCGAGGAGGACGGAGTCAGAGTTCATAGACAGGCAACACATGCACACAAAGAAAATACTTGCACTTCCCCAGTATTTGTGTCTATGTCATTGCAGCTCAGTAACAAAATTAGGCTTCTCCCTATGCAGGCCAACTGGTGAGACAGTCACAACACACACACTCCAGGGGTTGTGAGTGGGTTGGACTCTGGTGTTGCCTGAGGTGCTGGTGTTAATCTGGTCTGTGTCCTCAACTGTGAGGGGAAAGGGACTGCGTCAGGAGCTCTGGCAGGTAGGACGTCCTCTGAACTGTTGTATGACCATTATTCCCTACCACTGTCCACTGCATTGCTCTGTTGGATGGTTGGTTTTTATTTTTGTTTGTACTCTTTATCCATTTGGATATCCTTCTCCTTGCCTTTTCTGATCAGGTATGGAGTTTATCCAAGCAACTTTACTGGCCCGTCCAGTAGATGTCGTGGTTGTTTTATTGCCTTTCAGATTCAGCCGTTCATTAGACACAGCCTGTTGGGACATGGTTGCTAATAGAGTTGTGATCATCTTTGCTGCAGGGAACGTCAGAGATGACACCTGCCTCTACTCACCTGCTTCAGAGCCTGAGGTTACATAACACTTTAAAAGCCCAACGGATGCCTTCACGCAAAATCCTCAACTTAACTTATGTTGTGTATGCAGGTTGTCACAGCACTGAACTCAGTGGACCAGCTCATGTCATAGGGAGCAGGCTGCTGCACTGACTTGTTTGCACCTGGAGATGACATTGTTAGTGCCAGCAGTGACTGCAGCACCTGTTTTATTTCCTGTAGTAGAACCTCCCAGGCTGCTGCTCTACACAAACTCACACACAGACAAATCATAAATATCTGAAAACAGTGCAATCCATGTGTAAGTGTGTTATATTTTGGTTCATGTGGGTATAGCAGTGATCCTGTGATCAGAACCTGTCACTGGTGCATGTTCTTGCATTACTCCATCAGTAATACAATCAACCTCCTCTCTGTTTGACACGCATCTTCTCACTAATCCAAACCTGGAAGCAGCCATGCATCGTGCAAACAACACACGTCAATGACTCACAAAAAGGCCGCTCTTAACAGGAAAACATACACCTATGTGTGTACGTATCTGGGAGAGAATTACACTGTGTGCGCAGATGGGAAACTTCTGTGTCAGTCAATGTGGTCAGAGAGGTCGGGGGTCACGATCATTGACAGGGTTGTCAGTCACTGTCGTCAGGGGGAGGAGGAGGAGATGATGGGCTGCATAAGAGAAACCATCAGCGGGAGGTCAAATGGACGTAAAAAAACTGTGATCTAAAGTTTACAAACACTAAACACAGGTAAACTGTAATCTCTCTCTTGTTTACAGGTGAGCAGCGGGCAGATGGAGTGTATCGTCTATAATGGGCCAGGGGTAAAGGTGTGTACGCTGTGCCCCATTGCTGCGTGATAGGCGGTCTGCAGTGTGTGGTCCATGCTGATTCTGGACAAGATGAAGAGTGTGCAGATCCACAGCACCACCTGACTGGAATGGCACATTTCACATTAATATATATCATATTATAGGATTATAATTATTGATGCATTATTGTGTTCATCACTTTAATGTTGCAGCTGGTAAAGAGGGAGCTAATGCTAACTACCATATGTACTTATAATTTCAATGACTGCTGGGTAGTTTGTGACTCTTATGGTTTGGTTATAGTCTTGTTTTGTTTTATTCATCTAATTCTGAAAAGTAACTAGAAACTAAAAAGTTTCCAAATATATGGAGTAAAAACTACAGTATTTGTCTCTAAAGTGTACTGAAGTCAAAGTATAAATTAACAGTACAGACACTTCAAAATTGTGAAGTACAGTACTTGATTAAATGCACTTAGGTACCTTCCACCTCTACATAATGTATGTTTGCTCTTTACTAAGTGATAAACACAAGTGAGTTGAAGCAACTGCTATGAGAAGTCAATCATTTATATGATTATAGTAGTAGAACTCAGTAGTAGATTATAGTAGTTCTGAAGCACTTACATATATTCTAGGCCTCTGAATGTCCCAATGAACAGCTTTTCAATAAGATAATATCCTGTGTCAGACAAACTAGCCTCAGGCTTTGATTTTCTTTTAATTCAAATCCTAACTAAAGGATATCCAGACAATAAGAAGCAAGAAATGAACTGAAGGGGGAACCGGCGCTGCACAGGTTAAAAACCAATTCAGCTAAATACAGTAACAATGAGGCACTGTGTTGTCAGCTCTGGGTATAGGTAGAGAAATGTGGTGGCTCAGTCAGGCAGGAGCACAGCTGTAGGGGAACAGGCTGAGTAGTCAGTTATCTTCTACTCATCTCGTTCTGTATTTATTCTGGGACAGTAGGTGGGTGTGTTGGAGGAACCTTTTACTTTCAGCTTGAATAAAACGTGTCAGTCCTGAAAGCTGAAATGCATTAATGAGGGACTGAACTTTGATGGCTAATATCATTACTGCTAAACTGATAACAGCCATTTATGAGAGATGTCTTTTCCTCAGTTTTGAGGAATAAAAATTTTAGAATTTTACAGGAGTTCTTCAGGTGCAGCTCACTCTCTCGGTCCAACTCTGCAGAGTGACACAGAATGATGAAGGGAAACTCTGCAGCTGCCAACATATTCTAGGTACAAACGAAAATTAAGTTGAACCAATATTAAGTCATTATGAAATTACGTGCACACTGACATCCTGTAAATATACATAGAAACAATGTTTACAAATGGTTGTGCATTCCAGTTTATTTTATATCAAATTTCTCCTTAATCAAACTCTATTGTACAAATTAAAACTGAGGTTTAACATGCATTACAGAATCCTGCGATGGCAGAATTTTCAAAAGTGAATGACAGTAAAAACCAGAATAGTTTCCAATCCCTTCCCACACACTTGCCTGTTCCTCTCTGCATCCCAGGATTAAAACAAATGGCTGCTTTGAACTTTTTTCCCCTTCTCGCTTTTTTTTTTAAATTAGTTGTGATGTAGCAGAGGTGCAAACTCAGAAGAGACTCCCAGAGGATGGCCAAGGCCACGTATCACTTGGCACAGACTGCATGCAGCAGCTCCATCAGTTCAGACATAACTAGCCACAACGAGGGTGCGTTGTTTGTGACAGTAAGCGCTAATGACCAAATTACACACCAAGCAACACAGGGGGCTGGTCCCCCACCCCATCACACAGAAAAGACAAACTTCACCACCACTTACTGCCACACATGCAAACGTGCTGGAGTGCACAAAGTGAAATTCACATCTAGTGAGATAGAGAGAGAGAGAGAGAGAAAGCGGAAAATGGAGTAGGGGGGATGTGGAATGGTTAAAACAGCTGTCGTCTGCCTCTGAGACACAGAGGAGACACAGAGGAGCCTCAGAGTGCGGACGACACACTGACTTCCCAACAGAAAACTATTTTGCACGATTGCTTCATAGGTCCTTGCACTGTAAACACTGACCTCTTAGAGCTGAGTCTTACTCTGCTAAGCTAGTTTTGCCTCATGTGAAAGGTGAAAGTGTGGTCTCCTTAAAACTATCTAGCATAAATCAGTGTCTACAAAGTGTCACTGCTTGGGTGCAGAGTGAAAAGAAGCATTTTACCATCAACAAAACCCAGTCCTGTCACTTAAACCCTGTTTTTTTTTTTGTTTGTTTTTTTAAAGGTAGAACCTACACCCCCCATGCTTCCCCAAACACACAGAATTTACAACCAGCAGTGACATTTGTAGTCCTTTTCCCTGTATTATCTGGGTCTTAAGGAGGATGAATAAGCTCTGTCACACTCCTACAGCAAGACAATTTGACCTCAGGAGCCAATGGTTTGGCGTGACAGAGGACAGGTGTGGCAGATGTGTACACACCTCCGCCAGAGATGTGACCATACAGAGTCAGAGGTGGGGGAGGCAGAGATCGGGAGGTTAAGGCACTTCAGTTCTCCCGATGATTAGGGTGGGGATGATGGATCCACGACCAGTTCTCGAGCAAAACTGCATTTGGGTTCAGCTCCCTGTTTGTGTCTCCAAAAAGGCAAAACAAAACTTCAATGGCAAAAAACTTAAACCTGATGAAGCAGAAGTAACAACGACCTTTGTGTTTGTGAGCCAAGTCAATGACACATTTGCATGTTTTTCTTAAGTTCTATTACAGTGTGTTACTGTGTGTGTGTGTGTGTAACCTTGGCACCTTAAAAAAACAAACAAACAATAAAGCACACTCCTGAGCTCCCCCTCAGGCTGGGAACTGATGGCCCACCTTGACTGATCTGTGTGCTTCCAGATCAGCTCAACTTGCATAAGGCTTGAGTCCTAATCATCTTCTTTGATATTTAATTCATTCAGTTGCAGAAAAGTGGCAGAGAAAATAAAACACAGCAATGAGAAGAATAAAATCCAGCTCATCAGAAGGCTGCCTGTCAGTGAGGATAAGAAGCAGCAGTCAGAGGGAGAGTGCTGCCCATGGCACTGCTTTTATGAGATTTGCTGAGGCCCTGGATCTGTCCTGTTTCTAGGGCACTGCCAGCCCCGTACTGTAATGTTGCCATGAGGGGTCAAAGGTTATGTCACAGGCAAAGTGACCTGCTTTCAGGGCTTCAATATGTCTACATAAGTGGCACTGAAAATAGAAAATGTTCAAAGCAAAAGAAGACAAGGCTCTAGAGGAACTGCCAGTGCTGCTGTATGTCACATTAGACTGGGCTGGACTATAAAGTGCATACTAAGCCCCGTCCCCCCCCCAGGTGCTTGGTGTGTGAAGTTGTTCCTGTACAAGTGCATGTGTGTCTGCAAGTTCCTCTAGAGCACCTAATGTGACCTCTCTCTATTTTCATGGCTGTGGAGAAGAGCACAGGAGACTTTAAAATATTGTTTTACATTGAAAATTACATCTATGAAACAAATCTTTACAATGAATACATCTATGTCGATATATTGGCAAATGTGAACAGAAAATTGTTAAAACGCAACCCAGTGCCATCCTCGACCTCACTGTCATTCTGTTGTGAATGAATGAATAAAAGGACAAACTGAAGTCAATCTGCGACTGTGTAAGGTTGTTGCACATCCCTCTAATCAACTCTGATGCTCTTAATGATAATACATCTCCATCATGGCCCTGGCTACTCTGAAAGGAAGTAATTTATGATTTATTCATAGCTCCTTTATTGCCCTAGTGACCAAGAGAATGAGCATTCTGATTGGCTTGTTGTGGAGTCCTAAATGTCCTGGCCAATCAGAGGTGAAGTGCAGCCCTTCTTGATCGACTGTCTGGAGCTGTGCCGCCTCTTGCTCAGAGGGTTCCTGCTGGATAGAGGAGCTAGGGATCTACATCTTCTAGATCGCTCTTTGAATCACCCAGCATCATGGGTGACTCCGACCCCTGGGAGAGAGAAAAGGTGTGTGAGAACAGAGATATTTACACTTGAACTGATGAAATATCTGTGTGCAAGGCAGTGAAAGCGGGATCATAATTTTTCTATACAACACACTGATTGTGGGCAGTATTCACTCCTGTGCCAGATCAGGTCCAACAAGCTCATGTTGTGTGAGCATCCTGACAGGCACAGCAGGAGTGTGATGAACACAGCAGCTTCAACTGCACAGCTATTAACACACCGTAGGACACAGCAAACTGCCTTTACAGCTCTTGATAGAAGCCACTGAGATGTCCCATTTCTGTTCCTTTCTGCTTTCTCAGACTGCGTGAGCTGAGCCTGTGCTGTTCTAACACAGTTAGTCATATCAGAAGCCCACTGTGTTGAACAGTTAGGGGGGATTTAGTTGTGGACTACCTGTCGGAGGCTGTGGTCGGCGTTTTCATTTGCTGGACTGCCATCAGAGCCGTTACTACTGCCAGACTGCTCCTTCTCATTTAATAATGCTGTGGCATAGGCCAGGGTGTCCTACAGAGTTCGGGACAGACACACGATTACACACAGATGAATTAGGCTGAGCAAACGGCAAGTACGAGTGAGCGTGCATGTGTGTGAGTCATATCATGATGATATAGATTATTTGTGTGTGTGTACCTGTGCAGAGATAGTGCGCTGGAAGGTTTTATTGGTGGATGTCTCATTGGAGATGTTGCTCTGTGGAGTCCAGTAATATTCTGTCATCTGAGGGTAGAGGGAGTAGGATGAAAAATAAATAAATAAAACAAATGAATATACAGGATAATTAAAAAATATTTAATCCCACAATGCAGCAGGTACATGAAACAGCTGTGCAAGAGCTTAATGCAGGAAAAAAAAAAGAAATTATGAAAAGAATTATATGAATATACGAGTCAGAGGTGACACCTCTGACAATGAGCTGTGACTAACAATGCATCAAACTAGTTAGCAGGTGTTGAAGTAGTCAGCTCTAGTAATAGATACATGGTTAAAATAATTAGAGAGGTAATGAACAAATGAAATAGCTAAAGGCAAGGCATAAATGGTTAAACTAACTAAACATAGTGGATAAATACAGTGCCTTACAGAAGTATTCATACCCCTTGAGCTTTTCCACATTTTGTCACATTACAACCACAAACTCAAATGGATTTTATGTGACAGACCAACACAAAGTATCGCATAATTGTGAAGTGGAAGGAAAATGATACGTGGTGTTCAAGATTTTTTATAAATAAAAATCTGAAAAGTGTGGCGTGCCTATGTATTCAGCCCCCTTTACTCTCATATCCCTAAATAAATCCAGTGCAACTAACTGCCCTCAGAAGTCACCTAATTAGTAAATAGAGTCCACCTGTGTGTAATTCAATCTCAGTATAAATCCAGCTGTTCTGTGAAGGCCTCAGAGGTTTGTTAGAGAACATTAGTGAACAAACAGCATCATGAAGACTAAGGAACACACCAGACAGATCAGGGATAAAGTTGTGGAGAAGTTTAAAGCAGGATTAGGTTATAAAAACATATCCCAAGCTTTGAGCATCTCACGGAGCACTGTTCAATCCATCATCTGAAAATGGAAAGTGTATGGCACAACTGCAAACCTACCAAGACATGGCCGTCCACCTAAACTGATGGGCCGGACAAGGAGAGCATTAATCAGAGAAGCAACCAAGAGGCCTTAGAATGGCCCAGTCAAAGTCCAGACCTAAATCCTATTGAGAATCTGGCAAGACTTGAAAATTGCTGTTCACAGATGCTCTCTGTCCAATCTGACTGAACTGGAGCTACTTTGCAAAGAAGAATGGGCAAAAATTGCAGTCTCTAGATGTGCAAAGCTGGTAGAGACATACCCCAAAAGACTTGCAGCTGTAATTGCAGCGAAAGGTGCTTCGACAAAGTATTGACTCAAGGGGGGATGAATCCATATGCACGCCACACTTTTCAGATTTTTATTTCTAAAAAAAATCTTGAACACCATGTATCATTTTCCTTCCACTTCACAATTATGTGATACTTTGTGTTGGTCTGTCACATAAAATTCCAATAAAATACATTTAAGTTTGTGGTTGTAATGTGACAAAATGTAGAAAAGCTCAAGGGGTATGAACACTTTTAAGGCACTGTAATTACTGTATAAATAATACATACAGTATATGGTAGTGGTACACTATGAATGTGAACTTGACCAAACAAACTATTTCATAAACTTGCCTTTTTCTGTAGCCACTGTACTGCCCAGCTCCAGTGACCAGACAAGTCCTTGAAGTAATCCTTGGCTGGGGAACACCTGATGGGAAAAATTAAAGGACGCTCAAAATTATGTTGGCTAGTTCCTTTGTCCAAAAAAAAATAAAAATAAAAAAAGAGAATCACTGAAAATCCTGAGAACTGTTCCTCTACAACCCTGACCTCTGACACTGAGATGCACTCACTTCTGAGCTAAGGTGACCAGGAATTTCACACACTGGTAGCAGCGCCTGCTGTCCACGTTGTTGCTCTGGTGCATCAGAGCTGCAAAGAGAAAGCACTCGGGTTTTCAGACATTAAATCCCTTTAATAAAAACTGATGGTGCTGCCAAGTAGCATGGCAGTCTTACCAGTTTTTCTGGTAAAAAAAAAAAACATGGCAACATTGTGCACAGCTGTTTTGCTCTTTGTTTTCTTCTACCGTTGTGCCAGTTGGGGCCTTAGAGTAAAACAGCAAGAACAAATAAGGACATACCTAACAGGCCTTTATCTGACTCAAAAGCATACTTGAGTCTCTGGGATTGTAGAGGATCTTCCACAACCTGATGGAAAAGAGTTGAGACAATGATCATAATGGTGCTCATATAATTATGACAAACCAATAGGTGAAGGGACACTGGTGACTGATGCCCATCACTTACTAGTAGCTCCTGCAGCATCTGAAAAATGTTCTTCAGTTCATGAGGTGGAGCTGTCTCCAGCTGGGTCTGTGAGATGCAAAGCACCCAGAAGACATTAAAACAAAATTCTCCACATTGCTTAAATGTCTGTCAGCTGCTTTTGAGGGTTTCAAAGCTTTTTTTTTTCCACCTTGAGTAACTGCAGCACACCCAGGGAAAAAGGTTCGTTGCAGTATGAGCAGTAGGTCGCCATCTCTATCAAAACAGACAAGGGACCTGACAACTCGCGCATGGCAAACATCACCTGGGAAATATTCACAAAGAGAACATTAGTCAAACCAGTTTCAGCCTTTTAATGTTTGTCCTGATAATCAGGTCAAGACTTCTGAAAAGTGTATGTCACCTCGAGAAGGTAAGGCTGTCCCTCTGGAGTGAAAAGTGAGACCAGGATGTCCGTGTGGAGGGGGAGGAGGGGAGTGGAGGATGTGACACTACTCACACGCAGTTTAAAGCCCCCTGGAGCTACAAAATACAACAGGTGGCAGAGAGTTGAACTGAGAGCTGCTGGATTGTGGAAACACATCACTGTGTGTGTGTGTGTGTGTGTGTGTGTGTCTGTGTGTGTGGACGTGTGTTTCCTGCTACGTGGGGACTTCTTCCTGACTCCATACCAACTCATGAGGACCCGTTTCATGGTGGGGACCTAAATTGAGGTCCCCATGGGCAAGAAATTGAATTTTAGGGTGGCAACATGGTTTAGGGTTAGGATGAGGTTAAGGTTAGCTTAAGGTTAGGGTCAGGGTTAGGGTTAGGCAAGTAGTGGTTCTGGTTAAGGTTAGGGTTAGTCTACAGGACATGAATGTAAGTCAATGTAAAGTCCCCATGGACTACGAAACATAAACTCTGGGTGTGTGTGTGTGTGTGTGTGTCTTCATGTATGATCCGACTCGAGTGTCTCACCTTGCGTCTGCTGTGGGCTGAGGTCAGAATGCAGAGTGATGAAAGCCAGAGTGCTGTGTAGGTGAAGAAACTCACGAGCCTGAGCTGGACTCCACCGCCGGTTCTGCAGAAGCACAGACAGAGAAATGATTAAACAAGACATTGTTATGTTTAAATACATACAATATTGAGGTTAAGAATACTGAGTGAAAAACCTCAGGGGTCATACACAAAGTATTGCTGTCACTGAATCCTATCATACACTACAGATTATGCAGCTCTACCTGGTTGTTCTGCCTATTGGGTCCCAACAGGAAGATGAGCATCCGGCGATAAGCTGAGTGTTTCAACAACAGCTGACAAGGACTGCAACCCTGAGAGTGAACAGAACCAGGAAACATTTAGGAAATCATTTAATTTGGAAGTCTGTACATCTAACTAGAGATGTCCTGTTCCAGTTTTTTGGCCCCAGTACAGACTCAATTCCTTTAATATTAAGTATCTGCTGAAAATGATTCCGATCTGATACATTTACCTACAAAAATGTTCATTAGATATATTGAAATTGAAATCTAAATCAATCTGACACTATTTTTCAGGAGCCTCTTGACCCAAATCCTGGATCAGGTCCTGGTTCCAAAATATTAAGTTTATTATCTAAAATTATTGATATGAATAAAAGAACTGGGAGCTGAACAGCACTCCCTCAGAACTACAAATTCACTTTGTAGTTACAAGGCAGATACTAAGTACTACTTCATATAAGTACGTGAACACAGTTTGTGTAACCAATCCAGTTTAGATCTCCCTATTTGACTGTTTAATAACGCTGCATTAACAAAAGATGGCAGCTGTTGTAGCAGCACTGGACAAAAGCATAAAACATCCCATGTCTGCAATGAAAGAAGAGTGTGCAGCACGTAACATCTTGTGTGCACATCGCAGGAGGCTCTGCCTGTATCTATACCAGGCGCATGTTCATTCGTGAATAGGAAGCGCTTGGCATACAAAAACGCACAGAGGAGCTATGCATAGTTTAAAAAGAGCTGCCATATTCAGTAGGACTGTAACAAATGATAGATCATGTGTTTTAACAGTTTTTGCATGATGTATTTCTCTATGTTGGTGGAGTTTCATAGTGAGCTTTCATTGTTTTGGTGGATTCTGTGGGTCATTTTACACATATAGCTCCGAAAACACCGACTTGAAACTGAAAATAGTCTTCAGGTTGCTACTACACGTGTAAAGCACAAGTGATGTGCCAGTCCACAAAGGCAGTGTAGACAGCTAGATTGATTAATATAGCATCTTACCGGCTGTGGGACACACATGTCAAAAACATGATGGAGTCTGCTCAACCACATGACTGTAGTTCTAAATAAGGATTGGAATTGGATCAGTTTTATTCTGGCCCATACCAATCCTGTGAAATATGCCCGGATCAGCTCCAATACAACACTTGGTATCGGAGCCGATCGGACGCTTCTAATACTAAGGACTGCAGAAAAGTCTAAATCTGCTTCTGTAGAGGGGTAATTACCCTCTGAGCGAAGTTACTGAAGAGGCTGAAGTACTGCGCACAATTTTTCACATTCTCTGGGACATCTTTGTCCAGTAAGGAGAGAAGGACGTCAGTCAAACTGTCCAATCCTGGGTCTCTAAAGAGAAGCGCACTCTCCAGAGTCTTTTCAAGGATGGATGCTACCACCACCCTCACCTCCCTCACACTGCACTCCAACAGACAAACCCTAAGGGGCAAGAGACAGAAAGAGAGAGAAGGTGATGAGATAATGATGTGCAACTTATCCGCAGAAGGAGCTGAGTGGAACTGAACCTAAAAGGCAGAAAACAATTCTCATTTTATCATATCATATGACAATGACTCTAGCAGCTTTTAAGAGAGCAGCAACAATAAAGAATAAGCCTGACAAAAGGGTTTGACGTGCATTGATCAGGATGAAGAGGCAATGCTGGAAGCCACCAAGTATGTAGTATACCACTAGCACAGCTACAAAAATACTGCAGTGATTAAACCCATGCCAAGGCCCCTCAAAAAAAAGCATCAGCTCAGAAAATGCTGTCTCACCAGTACAATGACAGAATTTTAGATAAACCTTTTCTGCATCAGGTAGACAGTAGACTGTCCCTTGTTTTTGACAAGCTCAACTATAGAAAATGGCTCTTTTAATTAGCAATAAATGCATTTAGCTGTTAATTTCTGTCACTTCTTTGCAAAGAGTTAACTGACAATATTTACCACCCATATGATCCCGTATCATAACAGGCAAAAAACATACTGTGACAGGTGTGTGGCTTAAGCAGCCGGTTAACAACTACATTACTGACCTGGTGATCTCTCGCCCCTCTGGTCCGACCAGGTATTGCACCATCCACTGGCACGCTTCACTGCTCTTAGACAGCAGCACTTCCACTGTGGCCATCCACTCCTCTGTGTCCACCCTGCAGGAGATACAGATGTAACAACAGTACAATATTGCTGCTCATGATGGGTTTCTGACGTGTGTGTGTGTGTGTGTGTGTGTGTGTGTGTGTGTACATACCGGAGCTTCTTTTTGGTGTGCAGGTAGGTGTGGAAGAGAAAGTGAACTGCCAGCTGGAGACTCTCTTTGGCCATAGGCTGGTAGTCCGGATGCTTCAGTTTTGTCTGCAACACACAATTAGTTAAAAGCCACAAACTATTTCCTGAACAGTTGTGCTTTTAGCGGTCCTGCTGCATAATAAACATTGCATATATGATCTTTAGACAAACTAAACAAAGAGGTAGAGCAAATCCAAACGTTAGATAATAATGTAGTTCTATTTCGTACAGGCTTCACCGTCTAAGAGCTGTCAGTATTGGGTTTATCCCTCGCACATGTGCAGTCCTGAAGAGATTTCTTTCGTGCCCTGTGACCTGCACTGGGCTGTCTCCACTCAGGTCCACTGTGGCCACATAAAAGCCTATGTGACCTGAGTTCAGCTCCCTCTTTTTCTTCAGCAGTTCTAAAGAGCAATTCCTAGAGCTATGTCTAAAGAGCGAAGTTCCTTCGGGGCTCTGCCAAACATGATTAAAAAAGAGGCAGATTGCGAGGTGATTCCCCTCCCGCTGGAAGCCCTGGCTCCTCCTCAATCTGGCAGGACAGGCTCACCAGAAAGGGTGCAGGGCATGACGGAGTTCGGCTTCCCCATCGTTGGGTGCATCCCACATAGCTGCGGTTATAAATAAGATGATGCTCCTTCCGCCTTACTGCCCAGCCTGGGGCTCTCCCCACGGATGCAGTGTAGGAAACTGGGAGGGTCACGGCAGCAGCGATGACCCCAGTGCTGTTGCAGCTGTTGTCGGGCGAGGCATGGCAGCTCCTGTGGCACACTCTTTATGCTGGATAGTGCAATTCGACAGTGTCCCACAATAGAGCAGCGCGTGTGGGCTTGGTCCCTGAACGGGAATGTCTCAAGAGCCTAGCCTCCAGTGGTCGTGCATATGATTCAGAGTGCGAGAGCCCCGTCAACGACGGCTTCTTACGCGCTGAAACGGTCTGTTTTAGAGGGCTATGCCTATACTCATAGAAGCTTGGGTTACTGTATGTAACCATTGTTCTTAAGTGTGAAAGTGAAAATTTGTTTTCTGGTAAGGAAGTTCAGTTGCTGTGCCAAGCTGGCCTTGAATTTTTCATTATTTTGAATTTTGCAAATAAAGACCATGAAAAAAACAAACACATACTGCATTGACAGATGCCAGTGAGAGGGTGAAGTTGAAGTAGTCGCTGTTATAGACGTCTCTGTTCCTCATAAACTTCAGATTCTCATCTCTCACCATCTGCACACAAGACAAAAGTAGATGTCAGAGGAACCTGAAACTCCCTCTATGACTAACAGGACAAATGCTGTTGTGGTGTAAAGATTTTATTCACTTCAAGATGCTCTCAGGCAGCAAGCTGCCACTTTACCTGATAAATGCTGGCAGGCATCTTCTCTACAAACAGGCCCTTCTTCTCTCCCTTGCGGACCAGGCGGGTGAGCAGGGTGAGGCGGTCATTGTTGGCCCTCGGGGGGCGAGGAGAGGACTGTGGGGAAACATCAGGAGAGGATGGTGCAGACCTGGGAAACACAGAGGCATAGCTGAGTAAGACTAGGTGGTGCACCAATCAGGTTTACTGGGGCTGATTAAAGAAAGCATTACAAAATAAGTGATTATAACTGAAAGGCTCCGACAACAGCAGCAAAGATTCTGACTGCCGTAATAAACTGGTTCTAAACACAAAATCAGAGCGAAGCTGTCAATGGCAGAAGGATGGCCAAAAGGTGTGCTGGCATGGAAACGATGACTAATACATGATCAAAGACCCAATGAGAATGTTTCTGAGGTGAACACAACATGCAGAGGAAAACTGACTCACAGGGTAAGGTCCTCAGCCTCTTGCCTCATGATGCTGACTCTGCTTTTTTTGGGCAGGACAGGTGAGTTCTGGTCGCTAATCTTCTGATAGAACAACATGTAGGCGTTCCAGTACCTCCTCCTCACATCAGGGTATGGGTTGGCTGCACACACACAAAGACACAAATTTAGGCTACACACTGTGTGCCTCATGAAATCCTGTGTGGTGATTTAGTTTCACATCTTTAATTTCAGTGACAGAGTGGACATTGTTGTAAAAATGGCAGAGTTTGTGTGTCGCTTACACTGGTCATAAACTTTGGGGCGGTACTCTCCTCCAAAGCACTCGTACTCCAAAGTTTCATCATTCATATCAAACTCCTCTACCATGTTGTCATTAAATTTGTACCAGCGTCCCCGGGCACTGCCACTAAAAGAAGACAAACATGGAGGAAGGGCAAAGTGGAAGTTTGAGAGAGAAGGGGTAAATGAAAATATCACATTTAGATTCAAATGAATCAGAACTGGAAACTCAGCACAAACTTGGATAATATACAAACCCTACCAAAATTAAAAAGGCATACGAATAAAACAAAGAAGAAAACACTTTTATGGAGTGTCTTTGAGACTGTGCCTGGTTTTGTGGATATATTTTGCACTGCTACCAGAGGATGTGGAGATGAATACAGGGCCTGAGGTTACTGCATGTTGGGACTCACTGTCTTACAGTACCTGACCGGGTTTAACCTACAAACAGCCAGCCTGTGAAGCCACTGCTGCGGTTAGTGATCAGCTCATCAATGCTGGATTCCCCTGGAGCACAGTACCTGTTTGTTTCGACTGCTTGAGGTCAGAGTGTCTGCCGCATGTGATGCGTTGCTGGTTCATGAGCGGTTTAACGACCCATGATGTTATTGTCGGAGCTACGCTACTTTGGGACTGTATGTGGTCGTGTGGGGTTGGATCTACTTGAAAGGGACTGATGTTTCCATTACTTGGTGGGACTTAATGGTAAGTTAAAAAAAACAAAAACAAAAAAACAAACACAATCCACACTTCACGTCTGTTAATACGTTGTTTCTGTAACATTAGAAAAAATTATTGTAAGGCTGGAGAAGTTACTATGTCTGCATTATGCCAGTTAAAATTATGGGGTTTCTCAATTACCTGCTTTGTGTTACACATCTCTTATCATCAGTACATACACCAATCAGGCATAACATTATGACCACTGGCAGGGGATGTGAATAACAGACTGTTACAGTGTGTGGGGTAGATTAGGCAGCAAGTGAACATTCAGTCCTCAAAGTTGATGTGTTGGAAGCAGGAAAAATGGACAAGGGTCAGGATCTGAGTGACTTTGACAAGGATCAAACTGTGATGGTGAGATGACTGGGTCAGACCATCTCACACACTACAGGTCTTGGTGGGTGTTGTTGGTCTGCAGTGGTTAGTACCTACCAACAGTGTCTAAGGAAGGACAAATGGTGAACTGGAGACAGGGTCACGGATGTTTTTAGGAGGTGGCTCTCTGGTTTTATCACTCATATGGAGCTATGATGGGTGCAAAGTTAATCTAGAAGTACATGTGAGCATAGTGCTGTTTAAAGGAAATGTGCAAAGATATTGGCAATACACATAACTGTGCAGCTTTATTATAGTATATGGTATTATCGGTGCAACTTTAGACTCCAAGGAATATCACGTTGACACCTGATCTAGCTGTCACTCTGCTGAAACATGGATGTTTTAAGGAGAAAATGGAGGAAAGGATGTCCAATTTCTCTTAATTACTCCAAAGTGTGCAATTATTTTGTTCTTTTCGTGTCATGATGACAGAATGACCAGCATCACTTGAACAGCACAATGAAAACTAAAAAAAAAATGTATAGTGGCTTACAGAAAAACTTCTGCACTTACATACACTGCACATGAAATGACTTGTTAATCAAACAGACTGTAATATTTCAGTTCTGCTGCTTTAGCACATGTGACATTTCCTATAGCCTATAGCTAGAGAAACTAACAACCTTTTACAGCCTCTGAGTTTTCTTACAGCTTATACATAAAGCCAAACATTACATACCTCGATCTGCTAACCCGTTAAAACTAGATGAAACCTCAGACTTGGGTATTTCACAGCATCACCAGCTTGACTGACACACACTCTGAGCTAGATGTAGTGAAACTAGACAACAGAAGTTCACCAACCTTTTGTAAGAATGTTGACGTTATCAAGCAGTGTTAAAGACCGAATAACATTAAATTCTACAGCATATTATTCCAACTTACATGTCACTATCATGGAGGCTTTATGAGGAGCCTGTAGACATCCAGCCTGTCATTGTCTAAAATGGTCTAAACCTACATAAATCTCTATTTGACATAAAAGATAACTAACTGCAGAATGTATTTAATTTCCTGAAAACAGATGAGCATCCTGAGAACAAACCTTCTTTGCTGTAATCTTAAGTGGGGAAAGAACAACCAAGTGTGAGCAGGGTGCCAAATATTAGCTCCTGTGGTCTCTTTCCATTCCACTTCTCCAGTGAGTACTCATGCCTTCCAGAGTCAGACATCTGGAGATGCATACATACTAAACCAGGAGCCCACATAAAGCCTGATATTGCGTTTATGTACCCAAAGGAGGTCATACAAATTGTACCTGAAAAACTAAAGCAACAGATCGTGTTCCGTAAACCACTGGTTATGTGCTGTGTTTGTGACGTAAGAAAGGAACAGTAGCTGGAAAATATAATTCTCCAAGTAAACTGAGCCATTCATTGCTTTTGATTTTTATATGGTAATGGTCTTATACTTTTCTTCACATTGATGTGCATTAAGTGCCCATTCACCCATTTGCTCACACATTCACACACTGGAGTCATCACCGGGAGCAACTAGGGTCTTGTTCAAGGACACTTCAAGATGTGGAATGGAGAAGCCGGGTATCAATCTGCCAGCCCTCCAGTTAGAAGACAGCCCACTCTATCTCCTGATCTACAGCTGCCCACAGGTGTGATATGTACACATTTTAGAACTTTACCCTTCAAATCAGACAAATCAGAGGTGGTTGAGCTTCTGACTTCAGTGTCTCTTACCGTCTATCTTTGATGAAGGAGTAGTAGTGTCCAGCATGTGCCTGCCCACTGTGGACAACAACTCCCACAAGTTCATAGTTCTCAGAAATTGTGACTTTCTTTCTGGGTGACCCTCCGGAGGCAGCATCACCTCGCCCCTCGCCGCCCTCTCCGCTGCAATCTTGACGAGCCATTCCAGAGACAGTGTAAGGCTCCATGTTCAGCACCCAGGGAAACTAGACACCAACAAATAATACTGACTTATTAATCATATTTATATTTTAGTTCTGTGATTCTTAAAATAAATCTCTGGGTGAATCTGAATTTATGAGCTTTGTACCCTAATTTGTTCATCATATTTGATGGAGCGTCCACTTTCCCAGTCAAAGCCAAAGCGCATGAGGTGAATACAGAGAACACTGGGCAGTGATTTGATGCATGTCCTCTTCACTGTGGTCCTCTGTGCAGATGAGCAAATGTAAGCACTCTTTAGAACGCACAAGATCCAGGTAGCAGAATAAAAGCATGCAAAGCAGTACACAGACCTTCTCTTTGCATTTCTCACAGTAGTAGGCGTTGCTGCCCTCTAGCACTTCTCCTCTGACAAACTGATCCAATGAGATCTCTAAACTCTGACAAGATGTAACTCCAAGGTTCAAAGCCATGAATGTTTCTTCACGTTCATATCTGTATGTTAAAAGTCAAAGGTCAAACACCAGCTGCAGTGTGTTGCAAATGAAATTACCGTGTTGAATTTTACGAGAGAAAAATTAACTCTTGGCTCACCGATGCGGACAGTCTTTACATATCTTCTGGTCTGAGAAGATTCCCTGAAATGTATTTTTGAAGATCTGTTCTCGACCCATTTTCTGGTGAAAACATGTTTTGTGAAGGATCATAATATCATAACCAGTTACATATGGAGCTTCGCTGGTGTTTTAAAAAACTGATTTGGTGTTTGTTTCAGTTTTACCTTGAGGTGTTCATCAAGCTGGTCCACCAGGCTAGTGAAGAACTCATATGCATCCTGCTGTTCTCTAACATACAACTCCTTGTTCCACATCTTGAAGATCTGCAGCAGACATAACAACTTTGCATGAATGACATGAATAATAGCTGGGTCTCTATAAACTAGGCTGTTGCTTCCCAACTAAAGACAACTCTTCACTGCAAGAAAATGGGTGTAACCATCTGCTTGTCGAGTCAGAGCTCGGGGATTTCCCCATGTGGCTGACACATAAAAATGTCATAGAGGAGGTTGATGTTTTTGTGATTAGTGCACTTTCTGCCCATTTGACCTTATTGTTTAGAGAGAAATGTCAAAAAGAGTGAAAGTTAAAAAAAAAAAAAGTTTGTGAATATGCTGTGTAGACCTTGAAAGCACACCACGAAAACAGTGAGCACAACATGCTGAATCATCAGTGCTCTGCTCTCTTATTTAGCATCTCAAAGGGGGGACTGAAGCATGACCACAATCATAGCCCACTGCTCAGCTCTGACAAATAGCCTGTTACCTTCCAGAAGTTTTCAGGTACATAGTACTGCAGTTTGCTCTCCATCAAATGTCCAAACAAAGACTGGACCTGGTAATAGACACTCTCTTCTGGCTGGTCTGTGTCATCCTCAATGGACAGGAAAGCCTTAAAAAGCAAACATTCATAGTCAGCGATCCACTGTGTGAGGTTGGGTCTGGACTCAAAGAGCAGATGCTGTCTGGTGAATAAATGAGGTGAACAGGGCATAGAACACCTGTGTACCTCTGGTAAGCCAGGCTGCATGTAGAGCTGCTGGAACACAGCATTCATGTAACATGTGGCTCCTCCATTCTTCAGTCCAACAAAACCTGAGACTGAACGGCTCTCTACTGGGGGTAGATACTGACAGAGACACAAACAGTTTCACATATCAACTATCATTACAGTATATGTAACAACACATAATAATGTAAGACATGTGATATTAATTAGTGTCTTACATCAAACTCCTTGCAGAGAGAGGGATCAGACTGGTGGTGCATGGACAGTAACTCTCTGGTGATCAGTCGGAGGTTTGACAGAGAGCTGTCTGCTAGCATCACCAGCACCTCATAGGCTGCCAGTCTGCTGCTGGCTGTGCTGCACCTGGCCACACACAGAAAATATAGATTAGATTAAAGCAATGGTAGTGGCGTCAATATTTACAAGAAGAAGCTACTTGGTCTGTTGCTCTAAAAAAGCCAAAAGATTTCACAACAAATGAAAATCTTTCGGATGATTCACATTTTTTAAAATGAGAAAAATGAAAAAATAACTAGTCAGCCTCCACCAAGGGGAATTCAGGTTTCCCATGATTGCTTGACCATGAAAAGCTACTGCTGCATTTGGAATGATCATTATTAGTTTGAAAGTTATTAAAGGAAAACAAAACATCCACTTGCTGGGTTAGGAGTAAAACTGGGACTTCAGTGAGTGGACAGCAGGCAGTTCAGGTTTCCCATGATTGCTTGACCATGAAAAGCTACTGCTGCATTTGGAATGATCATTATTAGTTTGAAAGTTATTAAAGGAAAACAAAACATCCACTTGCTGGGTTAGGAGTAAAACTGGGACTTCAGTGAGTGGACAGCAGGCAGGGTGGTGAAGACATCACATTTCTGCAAGTCTGTGTTCTGCATGTTCAACAGCTGTTTGATAAACTGCTCATGCAGTCTCTGTTATTGGCTGATTGGTCAGACAAACAAGCACTTGCATCTCCAAAAACGTCAGAACAAACTGGCATTACTTGGATAGACTGGTCACATATTCTCAATCTAAGTCATCTGGAAAAAATGTCAAAACTTAATAAAGTGGCATAATAACAGTTCTAATGATAAAAATGATAACAGTTTTGAGCCTCACCCAAAATCTCCCGCCCAGCTGTTGCTGCACAGAGTAGATCTTTCCCTGCTGTGTATGTGCTCAGCAGTGCAGCCATGAACTTTGGCCACAAGGGGGCCCATATAGAGTCAGCAGCTTTTCCAACTCTCACAGTGATGAATAATCTTTTAAAATATTCCTGTATCCAAATTATGCTACAGATCAGCACCAAAATGTATCCAAGCGTTTTGTAGGCTGCCCCCTACCTTTCCAGAAACTTTCATCAACATCTGTTCATTACTTTTTGAGTTATGCTGTTATCAAACAAATGAACAAACAAACCATAGCAAAAATGTAACCTCTGCCTATGGCAGAGTAAAAAATTAAAATGTAACTGATGGATAAGAATAAAATGTCATACTTGGGGTGGAAGTCGTGGCTGGGGGCCAGGGAAGGAGTGGGATTGGAGCTGTTGATGATGATACGTGAAGCTCGAAACAGGAAGTCATCCAATAACTGCTGGATCAACGATGGACCTGGAAATGAATACATTTCACACCGTCACGTTACACGTTTTACTTCCAAAATGTCTTTAAAGGGTACAGATAAGTACACGTTTAAACTTATGTGTTCTTACCCAGATGTTCCTTTTCATTGCCACAGAGTGAGAGCAAAGTCTTGATGAGTCGGAGGTGTCCTGCCAGGAGGATGTTGTCTGCCTCGCTAGTCTCCATCTCAGAACTCCAGCTAGGCTCAAAGTTGTTGAGCCAAGAGATCTCATCTTCCAGCATGGTGGCTGCACTCACTTTTAACACCTCCATCTCTGATGCTGGAGGTGGTCAGACAGGGAAAGGGAGAGAGAGGGAGACAAGGAGAGAGAGAGATTTTACGATACAATGAACTACAACCTCTCTATTACATCAGTTGTTACATGTGGGTATTCTACAAGTGACTGAAAACGAGATTTATTGGCTTACTGGTTAGATCATCCAGAAGCTGACATCTTAGGTCAAAGTACTCTGTGCACTGGGATAGCAACCTGAGGAGAACGAGCACCACTGGTAAAAGATTTAACATTTTCAGTAAAGTGTCTCTTGGGTTTTTCTTGCTTAAATACCTCTGGTTGACCCCTCTCATGACAGATGTGGGGCTCCACAGTGGCAGCTGAGCAGTGAGTATGACAGAGAGGAGGAACAAGTTGGGTTTCTGGACTTCAGGGAAGGCTGAAGTGTCAGACTGGCTCAGAGTGTACAGCTGATCACAAGCCACACGACGGATCTGATACAGGAGGAAGCAGAGGCACAGCAATGTTAGGGACATCCAGTATTTGTTCTGTGCAGTGTACAGAGCAAAAAGAGGGTGCGGTTTACCTCTCCGCTGGGAGATCCCAGCAGAATATCAATGATGAAATCACTGACGGAGGGAAGGTTGTAAAAAGAACCTGGGGAGAAACACCAACCAAACAATTTAGCCTTATTTTCAGATGTCTGGCAAGCAAAGCAAATAAATATCCTACAAATTAAAAGAAATGTATATACTACAGTATTATGCCACTTCATAGATGACTAATAGCAATGTATAACAATGAAATGCTTGTGGTGTGTTTCTGCTCCTGTATGAGTCTTACAGAATTGCTGACAGCGTAACTGCAGACAGGTAACCAGCAGTGACAGAGCCTCACGGGCAATGATGGCATCTTTGATGGAGACATTCTGCTGTCTGACACATATCCCTGCATGCAATGCCGTCGGTGTGGCCTCGCCCTCACTGCTGGAGCTGCAGTTACTTCCTGCAAACACATACAGAACATTTGTTTTGCTTTAATTTCTAGAGCTGGTGATGACCTGACCATGAGCTGTTGGTAACAAAACGCTTGACACAGCCATAGGTGACAAATCAGGAATGAGGTGATGATAAATGATTACCACACCTATTGACTGTAAACACCTATTTGACACCACACCAGGTTCTCATCTTATCATTAGGCACCTCAATATGAATGAAAAGCGTTCAGTGTGTCTTCTATCTTACCAGTGCTGCTGACTCTGGTGCGGACTCCCTGTGCCAGAACAGAGGTGTGGCTCTCTCTGATTGGTTGTGGGCTACCAACCAAATCTAATCTGCCTGCTGCAGCTGCCCAGGTCAGACGCATGAAACAGGCCACAGTGGAGGTGAAGTCATTCACCTCCATGGTCTATAACAGAGACAGAAAATATTTACTTTGTAAATGTTCTCGACCTACCAGGTCAATCTGATTGTTGAATTGAAGGAGGATGGGCCAGTATGAAACTGAAAGTGTGTGTCTGTGCATTTTAGTCCAGTACCTGAATAGCTACACGAGCAGCAGGTATGATCTCCTCCACTCTTATGGACGAGCGCTCAGACAAAGACACCTGCCTGTAGGAAGACTTCTCTGGAGTTCCACAAAGAGACAGCTGTCGCCCGGTACGCCCAGCGTTACGAAACGGACGGGATGACAGCGCGTCACCATCCCTAATGACATCATCATCCAGCATTGCTGGCAAGCTCTGACCAACCAGAAGGAACCTGCAAATACAACCAAATGAATATTCAAGTCTACTTTGATACATATCCTGGAATATCCACTGTGTGTGTGTGCAAGAGGCATTTTGCACCTGGCCAACTGAAGACAGATTGAGTACACTCCTTGTCTGGTCTCATAGTCCACCTCTGATGGGATGGAATCTCTCTGCATAACATTCACCACCAGGCTGCAGAGGAGAGACACAGACATAGAGCTGTCAGGACTAAAAATCAATAGATACTATGAGGCAGTTTATATGAAGGCAAATGTCAAGTGGCATGTGTGTGCTAGTATATAATGCAGCTTGACAAGTCTGGTGACACTTCCCACAGTGGAACAAAGCAAACACCAAACAGTGATGATCTGTTTTCTGAACCGTTACCTGAGACCTCCTGCTTTAAGGAAATTTTCACAGAAGGATCTGCTGCTGGTTTTAGCCATCTCATCATCAGATGTGGGCATGAGCTTCGAACTCAACACCTAACACAGAGAGAGAAGAGGGAAGGCAGATGTCAAGGCTACTAATCCACCTTTAAGGCTTGAAAAGAGGCATTTAATGGGGTTTATAGTCCTGTGTGTACCTCCAGGTTGTACAGCACTCTGAAAGTGGACATGCCAGGTGCTGAGGATCTGAACAGGGATTCCAAGATGGATGTAGCACTGGGCTGGTGCTGCTGCTTGGAGGCCATAGATGGAGAACGAGAGCCTGTGCCCTGGCCGAGCGTGAACAGTGTCTTCTGCAGAAAAGACACAAGAGGAAGAAAAAAAAAAATACATAAATTATCTTGCCACAACACTCTCCCAAAATATTCTGTTAGCACAGGTCCTTAGACCGAAGATGACTTTAAATAAGAATAATCAGACAGAGAATAGAGAGCTTTGATGTTCAGCCATGGCAATTGCCACTTGACCTAAATGTCAAGCAGACAGTGCGATGTACCTGATGGCTCCAGACACTGGATTCTTTTGGAACAAAGTTGTCAAGGGCATCTTGAACTTCTGGATCTGTCGGAATCAGGAGCAGTAGCTTCCTTACACGAAGAGTGATCCTGAAGGTAATAGAAACACACAGCGATGAACCAGCAGTCTAAAGTTTTGCTATATTACTGTCTCATATTAAGCCCATAAACTAAAGCAATTAATGTATGAACATTTCTGTCAAAATGCTTGTTTTCAATGAGAGCACAGTACATGAATCTGAGTCTTGTATTAAGACAGTTGTAGTTTTTCAGGAATAATCACCTGGATTCATCTAGGTTAGCCAGCTGGTAAAGCATCTCAAACACATTACACACCAAAGCCATCACTACGCCAGGCAGAGACTTCTCCTGGCGACAGAAAAACATGGGCACAGTGTTTCAGACTCTGTTGAAGCCTAAGTGTGTCCACAATCTGCAAGTGTGTGTTCATGTGTGACATGGCACCTGCTCCAAGGCGTAAGCAGAGTTGAAGACAGCAGAGCTGGAACTGCTAGAGGCAGAGGCTGAGGACTCAGAGCTGCCAGAGGGAGTGCCAGTGCTCGAACTCTTCACAGTCAGGCACTGCTCATCGCTGAAGCCAAGTTGGGAAAGCAGCTTCTGGTCACGATTCATGGTCAACTAACACATGGTGGAGGGGCAATGAGGGGATGAGTGAGAGAAGAAAAGGGACTTAGGTTGTTTGAGGTTGTGTTTCCCCTGTCACACAATAGATGCAGTGGGCCAACCTAGCAAAGAAGCTGTTGCACCCTGCCTGGAAGAATTAACTGTGCACCGAGTTGTAGTTTGTAGTGTGTACTGGCTTAAGGGGAAACATGTGACTGGGAGAGGAGTGAAGTACTTTGGTGAGGGAATGATCAATTAAACAGAACACACAAATTAAATAAGAGTACAGAGTCCCTGTCATTAATACTTACCACACTATCATTGGCAAATATCTGGACATTATCAACTGGACAGCTCAGGTGCTCTGATATCTTCCACCGGATACTTCCTACTGTCTCATTACTATGGGTCTGCAGGACACACACACACACACACACACACACACACACACACACACACACACACACACATTATATATGTATATACACCATGAAAAGAGCCATTTTCTCTGTGGACACAACTCTACAATAAAGGTGTGTTAAAAGGAAATACTTTACATTACCTCTAAGGTGAAAGTGTCTTTGGTTGACTCATAGGTGATGTGAAGAGTGACAGGGTGACCATTGAACGAGGCCCCATGAGGTAGAATAGTGCGAGGAACTGAGTACATATCCTGCACAGAAACAACCCCCCCAACCAAAAAAAAACATTCAGTTAAAAAAAGCTTAAAGTACGTTCACTGACTGTATCCTGATCCTTCGCAACTGTCAAAATTATGTAGCAAAATTAGTGTCAATGAATGTCTGTCCTCACCTCTCACACCCATCTGCAGCCAAACTGACTGAGACCTGTTGCACAGCCTACCTCTATAGTAATGACGTAGCGTTCAGCCAATAGCAGCAGTCTTTCGATTATCACAAGCTTAGTGGATCTGGAAATTAACATACACAAAGGAGCTTCGACAGGAAAAAATGTTCCAGTGGAGGACTTTTTATAGAAGTTCAGTATACAATTACTTAGGACGTAGAAGAGGATATTTTAATACGTTTAATAACCATGTTCTTACCCAAACCCCCCTCTGTACCTGGATGGTGATTGTACAGATGTGGCCACAGTTGGCATGGCAGTGGCTGTCAGCATCTTTGTTGCCTTAGTAACGGCATGTGTCAAAGTAGGCCCACCGAGGGCCGAACTCGCTGCCTGGGAAGAAAAAAAACAGTGTTGAGCTCTGTGAAATGGCACAGTCACTCTTAACAGTAACATATTGGACCACTTACATCTAGTCTCTTGTAACAATCAGCAATGAACTTCTTGTGCAAAGACACGGAATCCTAGAAGAATGGAAAGTTTATATTATACGTGGCTTCACAAATGGACCAAAAAACAAACAAACAAAAAAAGATTCACTCAAATATGTTGCGTCAATACTGAAATTGCTCAATTAAATAAAGCATTTGTTCTTTTCCTGTTTTCATACTTCACCACATTACACTCGTACAAATCACTCATTTAAGAGCAAAAAGAAGACTGTACTAAGGAGGTAGGCTTTAAACACAATGGCAGCATTTTAAGTTATAATCAGGTATACAGACACGTGAAGGGATCGTTGGAAGAGTGGGTCTCACACACGCACTGACCTTCTTCATTTTAGGATTGAGATTGGTGTAGCTATATGTGATGATGAGCTGGATTGCTTCATTGGCTATCTCTTCATCAGGAGTTTCCATGGCGATGCGCCAGATAAAATCCATCCCTGCCAGGTCGAGGCGTTCCACACACTAAAGAAGTCAAGACGGCATGACATACATAAAGATGTGTTTTACCTCTATATATATTTTCGGTACATTTTCAATTCTCACCGACTCACTAGCTGTGTCCATTGTCAATAAAACAACCAAAACCAACCAACCAACCAAAAAAAAAAACAAAACAAACAAACTGAAAAGCAAGGACTGACCAGCTGAGTTCCCTGGCGTTTCAGGCGATGGTCACACAGATTAACGTTCTCAAAGAAGGTCTTAAACAGACTGAAACCTGAAAGAAATAAAAATATTAACTATTGTTAATTAGTTATTCATGAACTATTTCTGAAAGGCTGTAGGTCATTAATGTATCTCCTTGCCAAATGCCATACCATTCATGGTGATCTCATAGGCCTCCAGTTTTAAGATCTTCTCCTTGAAGAGCTGCTGCTGAACATCACTCTCCAGGTCATGCTGTCCTTTGGTGAACCACTCAAAACACATCTGCTCACATCAAAAAACATACTGTGTGTCAGCTTCTTTCAATTGAGCTTTGAATACAGGAAAAATCTGAAACTATCTGAGGGGTCCATGCAACAGATTAAATCAGTCAGATCAATATTTTTGACTGGTTCATCTTATGAATAACCAGGTAATGCTGACAAAGGGCACCAAGAAAAAGCACAGAGTAATATTACCTTTACTACAGGAAAAAAAAAAAAAAATGTTGGAATAATTAATCTGCTTTTAAAACTCATTTCATTTATTCACAAATTTTTATAGATGTTATTTTTATTTGGCAAATATATTTTGTTCTTGTGTTTGTTACCATCCTGCCTGTAGAGTATTTTACGTAAAAAAACGTCAACTGTGAAGCATTTTGGAGCCACTGCGATGAAAAGCAATTAATCTGTACTTATTATTCTTTTCCAAAGCAACGCTCGAAGATGGATGTTTCTTGAAATGACTGAAACTCTAACTACTCCTGCTTACTAACTACTTAATTACTTTCAAGACCTACAGTCTCATGCAAAAGTTTAGGCACCCCTTGATAAATAACAGATTTTGGTGATTTTTTATTTGAACAGATGTTAACACAGTTTCTCTTGGAAATGGAAAAAATGCACAATATTTTCAGCAAACAGTGATGCATAGTTACTTCTTATGCCATAAATTGAACAAAAATAAAAAATAAAAACATTATTATGGCATGGTGCAAAAGTTTGGGCACCCTAAGAGTTCCAGAGTCTCAAAGTCTCTCACAAGGTTTCAGACCTTAATCAGCTCGGTAGATCTGATGCACAGCAACAGCTGTCATTGGTAAATGCCAATTTCAAAGCTGTACAAATACCTTGACTCTTCAAACCTTGTGCACACACTTGTGGACACCCAGCAACCATGGGTTCCTCTAAGCAGCTGTGTAAGACCCTGAAAATGAAAGTTATTGATGCCCACAATGCAGGAGAAGGCTACAAGAAGATAGCAAAGCGTTGTCAGCTTGCAGTTTCCACAGTAAGAAATGTAATTAAGAGATGGCAGATCAGGGGAACTGTGGAGGTCAAGATGAGATCTGGAAGACCAAGAAAACTCTCGGACAGAACTGCTCGTATGCTGGTCAGAAAGACAAATCAAAACCCCCATTTGACTGCAAAAAACCTGCAGGAAGATTTAGCAGACTCAGGAGTGGTGGTGCACCGTTCCACTGTGCAGCGATGCTTGCACAGACAAGGCCTTCATGGAAGAGTCAGCAGAAGAAAACCTTATCTGCGTCCCCATCATAAAATCCAACATCTGAAGTATGCAACAGGACATCTACACGGTGCACCACCACTCCTGAGTCTGCTAAATCTTCCTGGAGGTTTTTTGCAGTCAAATGGGGGTTTTGATTTGTGTTTCTGACCAGCATACGAGCAGTTCTGTTCGAGAGTTTTCTTGGTCTTCCAGATCTCATCTTGACCTCCCCAGTTCCCCTGATCTGCCATCTCTTAATTACATTTCTTACTGTGGAAACTGCAAGCTGACAACGCTTTGCTATCTTCTTGTAGCCTTCTCCTGCATTGTGGGCATCAATAACTTTCATTTTCAGGGTCTTACACAGCTGCTTAGAGGAACCCATGGTTGCTGGGTGTCCACAAGTGTGTGCACAAGGTTTGAAGAGTCAGCAAGTGTGTGCACAAGGTTTGAAGAGTCAAAGTATTTGTACAGCCTTGAAATTGGCATTTACTAATGATAGCTGTTGCCGTGCATCAGATATAATGAGCTGATTAAGGTCTGAAACCTTGTGAGAGACTCTGGAACTCTTAGAGTGCCCAAACGTTTGCACCGTGCCATAATAATGTTTTTATTTTTGTTCAATTTATGGCATAAGAAGTAACTATGCATCACTGTTTGCTGAAAATATTGTGCATTTTTTTCCATTTCCAAGAGAGACTGTGTTAACATCTGTTCAAATAAAAAAATCACCAAAATCTGTTATTTATCAAGGGGTGCCTAAACTTTTGCATGTACCTTACGAGAAGATGCTAAAAGTCAAATCCATGATTCATTACTTCTGAGACAACCTCATCACTGGGATCTACATGGTCCCTTAAAATGTTCCATAACTTGGAAAAAGGTTTCATTTTTAGATTTTATATCTATGCTTTTTGTGCCTGTCTTGAACACTGTTCTAAAGGAGAGAAAAGGGTGGAGTAAAGGCTAATGTTTCCGGAGTTGCTGTCTTAGCTCCTCGAGAGTCATCCAGAGAAAGTTGCTAACAATCCCAAACAAATGACCAAGGACAAGTGTTGCATTAGCATAGCTGTTTTCAAACCTCACGGTCCAGTTCACAGACGTCCGGCCCCGACACCAGGCACTCCCAGAGCTCCTTGGCCCTGTTCCACACCAGGTAGAGGCTGGCCTCCTGAAGGAAGAACGCTAGGAACCGCAGATGGCTGTCCAGATACTAAACACAGAGTCAGTCAGACACGTCATCCCAAACGTCAAACACACGATGTCAAGAATAACATTGTGCTGTTGTGTTACTTCCTTTCTACTGTGTGTAAAGCCAGTCCAGCTCATATGAACATCAAAATTATGAACTGTATCAAATAATTTGTATGAGCTCTCTAGAGCAGCAAAGATCACCAAGAAAAATAACACAGACAAACCTCCTGATAGGTATATCGTCCATCTACTAGAGTCGAGCCTGAGAGGCCACTGTTTCCTGCAGCAGTCATGGCAAGTCGATGGCAGCACACCAGAGATCCTGTTATCAGTTTGACGATCTCAAAGTTCTTCTTCAAGTCCTGGATGATGCTCTGTGGGGAGGCAGAGAAAGTTTACCACAGTGACATTACAGCAATTGCATAAAGGATCATTGTAAAGGTGTACGTGTTTGTTTGTGTTACTTTGTCTTGTTTCTGATAGGTCTGCTTGATGAAAGAACGAGTGATCTCGTGCAACTGACGGAGAGCAGGAACAACCCAGACTGCCTGAGGACTGCTCTGCTGAGAAGCCTGTTGAGACACACACACCCGATACTGTAATGATGCCCGCTAAAGCAGAATGAGACACAAAGATAGTATGAAGAGAGAGAGCGCTGTGCTGGTCAGTACTAATCCAATTTCATTTTACTTCATTGCTTTGTCACCTCAGACCCACCACTTTTATTGAAAATCAGAGCACTTCCACCAAAGCTGACCACTCATCCAGTAGCTAAATCATGTAATCAATTTAGCCAGCTCTCACCAAGGACAAAAACACCACCATCGTGTAAATCATTAGCCAGTGCCAAAGCAGAAGATTGACATAAAACACTTCATGTTACAATCAAAAGTGAAATTATTAATTGGAGACCAAAGACACCCTTTTGTAGTCAAGCCCTCCTCCCCAATTGGTTGGCAGGTGTGAAGCAGCAAAACAGGACAGAGATCAGTGTACGAGCTTCTTCTCTTACTTTCGCCAAAGAGTTAGATTTCTTCTTCCCCCAAGTGCCAGTAAGAAATGAACTCTGACTGTCGTTGCCTTTACTGATTTCCTGAGTGTGAGTCTAGAAACATACATTTAAAGTGGGACATTTGTACATATATTTGTGCATGTGATGACTACTAGCTAATAACTTTAAATCAACAAATCATGAAAAGTTCCCCTTTACCTGACAAGATCTAAATCCTATTTTTGTTCAAATGTGAATAAGGGAGAACTATGGAAAATAACTTGCAAGTAAGTTAATATAAAAAAGATTCACTGACTCAAGTAAATATTGAGACAGAGCAACTTAAGAGAAAGACAAGAAAAGCCGAGTAAAAAAAAGGGATTGAGTCTCGTCATGGGTTCTGTGTTGTTTCCACTGCCCTCAGCGCCCTTTGGAGGTGTGTTACAGGAGCTAAATTCCCTCAGGAGGGACTACAGTCCCTCCCTCCCCTAAACAGAGGAAATGTAGTGGAAAACCAGGATGGTCCTTGTCAACCCGGGAGGTTATGCTGTGTATTTTTTTGCTGTGTTAGTCTCTGTTTAGACAAGGGCGGGGCTGTGCTACACACACACACACAGAGTTTATGTTTCGTAGTCCATGGGGACTTTACATTGACTTACATGCATTTCCTGTAGACTAACCCTAACCTTAACCACTATTTGCCTAACCCTAACCCTAACCTTAAGCTAACCTTAACCTCATCCTAACCCTAAACCATGTTGCCACCCTAAAATTCAATTTCTTGCCTATGGGGACCTCAATTTAGGTCCCCACCGTGAAATGGGTCCTCATGAGTTGGTATGGAGTCAGGAAGAAGTCCCCACGTAGCAGGAAACACACGTCCACACACAGACACACACACACACACACACACAAAACTAGGCTGAGGATGTGAGTCACACATTTACCTTTAATGCAAATAGTTAATAGAAGTGTGAAGATGCTGACATTTAATCAATCATGGGTGACAGCTCTGCTAGCATGCAACACTTCCACCCACCGAGTACCTGGAACTTGATTTTAATACTACTTCCTGAGGGTTGACAAAATTTAGCTCCTGGAATGCATCTCCAAAGTGAGTGGAGGGCAGTGGAAATAAATGCAGAATTTAGGAAAAGTATTACATGTTTCTGTAGGGTTCCTATAGTGCAAAAACCATATTTCTGGCATAGTCTGAGATAGTTACTCAGCCAAAAGAAAGAATTAGGTATTTTTCATTGCATTTAAATAAAAAACAACGCCCGATAAACAGGCACTTGTGCAAAAAAAGGAGCCAGAGAGAGGCCCCGACTCAATAACTCCCTGCTGCTCCATGGATACTGAACTGGAGCACATTCAAATGCAACAAGTAAACAAAATGAAGCTGAATAGTAACATCCAGCACTAACAAGAATATGCTAACTGTAAACCAACACTGTTGAAGCAGGCAGAAAAATGTAGGCGCCCAATCCACTGTTTCCTTTAAACTTGATGAACTACACTTTTGAGCTATGTAACTAACAGTCCCTGTTTTCCTATAAGAAAATAAACAATAAATATCAGATTTTAGAGCAAGAGCCCAGTGAAACACTCAGCTAAAATTTATACTAGCCCCTACATCTACATGGATACTACAGAGTGTCGGGAGCATGTTTATCTCACCTTCTTAATGTCCTCAATACATTTAATGATGTAACTGCGTTTCACCGTCTCCTTGACAGCATAGG